ACGCGTCTGCCTCCGCGACCCGAAAGGAGAAGCGGCGATGGAAGATGAAGAAGATGAAGATGAAGATATTTAATGTCTTTGGCGTCCCGTACCACACCGGTTTGTTCAAGCTATGTAAGAAGGACGCGGCTGGCCATCGTCTGATAAACGAAAATGTCGAAACAGGCCTATCAAATCGATAACATGATGCGTAAGCAACTTGATTTTACATAAGGTCGATGGTGGTAACACAATTGACAGCATTTAAACCACTCAATCAACTTAAGATTCTCACTTTACTAATTAAACAACAATCATGAGAAGTACACTCTAAAACCTGTTCACAAATACAAAGCGAAACTTATAACTGATGTACATGAACTCTTGGACCTAAACTATAGAAAACAAATAGAACAAACGAAATAATTAACGACTGAAAATTAATTTTCCAGAGATGCCTTTAGGATATGAGAATATTAAGTATAAATATGAGGCCATGTATTAAATGCGGTTATATTTGAATATTTGGCGAGTTGCCTCACAGCAACGATTACCCAAAGAGGGCGTCTGATTTGTTACTCTACACTTATCAACATCATCTATACGATCAAAAATAACTAGAAAGAAGAATGTAGGATATAAAAGTCTTGTTCCACTACGAGCCAGATTTGAAAGCTTCAGTTTATATGTAGCAGAATCAGGACATATTTTAGATATAACAGAACTGTAATTAACTCGCTTCACTGACACTCGACACAATGCATACCGTAAGCAAAGACCATTTAAAGCATTGACACGTAGAAACAAGGAAGCAAACAACTGAGGCTTACTAACCGTTGTGCCTATCGAACCAGTACGTCGATGGGACTTTGTAACACCATGTGTTGCCGGCATGCCCTTGAAATTCCAACGACGCATAACTCCTTGAAAACCATAATCTATTCTAAAACAATAAAGTTTAAAATGAACTCGGTAAAAATGAAATTTCTGTGAAGAAACAGAAGTTAGCAGTGTGACAACATAATTTTTAGACTCGATAACACAAACGCTTGAAAACATGAAGAAATGCTTAAAGTTATGGAGCTTTCAGAATCTAGAGCGCCCTTCCTCTGAGAACATATAATGCAATAATGTTTTGCACGTGGAAATGGGACACCGCTTTAAATTATAAAAGCTGCGAAACTTTAAATAAAGGATTTTTCCCGTGGCTAAACCGCGTTTGCTATCCGTTAATATCAATACTAGAATGTTAACGTTGGCATGAATAAATTATTGTCATAACTTCAGGTAATTCAGTGCCAGTGTTAAAACAAGATCTTACTTTTCAGGGAACATCAATTTTTTGAAAAATTCCGGCTACTGACAAAATACATGGCAACTGCTGTTGTTTTGCACTCGTCATCTGAGATATACGCAGAACGACCCAGATTTATTACATTTGACCGTTAGAAATGTTACCTTAAACTGATATCACGCAACGTTCACCACAGTAGCGAAGTACATACTTCGTTATGCAAGCAGGCATTTCTCGTTAAAGACAATTATGCCGAAGCAAATTATTAATAATGTTTGTTTTGGCTATAACGACAAAACTAATGTTTAAGATTCTAAATAAACATTTATGTAACAAACTTGCTCTTACGTTTTGCCCCATAAGTCAACGTACTGACCGACTTTGAAATGCTGCGCATAAAGACGAGTTCCTGAAAGCAAAATATATTAAGAAATATTGTTGTCAGCTCAATTAGCAATGATCGAAAGCTGAAAAATGTTAGTGTACTTAAATGATATAAAATGGGCGCTTTCAAAGCATTTTGGGCATGGTAATGAATGCTTTGAACGAAAAAAAGGCAGAAGAACAGTAAAACTAACTAACAACTTTGCACCGCTTGGAGATAATTGGCTAACATGATATTGTGTACTGTCGATTCGCAGCTTAAAACGAATAAGTGACTTCTGATTAACCTAATCAGAGATTCGCTTAGACTTCATGGGATTCGTATAAGTTAACTTTCGATCACAATGAATCAAATAATGCGAACGCCAAAACTTAAGCATCCTCCTTCTGAAAGTACACCAAAGTTGTAATGATTTCCAGATAGAAAGAAGCCAGCACACAACTGCATTACGTTTAATATAATCCTTTAGGAGCATAGCACGTTTGTAAGCTAAATGAGATTCACGACGGTCGGTTTTCAGCAAATATTAGTTTTACAGACGTCCCGTGAATCAGCAAGTGTTTCTGCAATGGACATCTTTCTACTAGACTTACGGGAACAAAAATTTTGTTTCGCTTTCATTAATGGTAATAAGCGTTAACCATGATTTGAGTACTGCAAAAAATTGATAATTTGTATTGAAAGTGATTCGATTGCCAGCTTAACGATCTTAATTTACATTTAATTAATTATACATTCGTGAAACAACAACACTAACACCCACAACCAATGATGGGACAACAATGAAAGTAAAAAACAAAAATATAACAAAAAAGTTTGGAGAAAGCAGTAGATTAAATCAGAAGTCTCTTCTACTCACCAAACTCAAATGTTTGCAACTAAGGGGCGCTTTGAACACTAGTCTGAAGATAAAGTCATCAGCTACTTCGAAGCGTCATTTGACAATTGATCGATATACATGCCGGTAAACACAAGGAAACCTGTAACTGGGAGTGAACGCTTTTACAATGCAACCTTCCTCTTTTCGGCATAAATTCTCCGATGCGAAAAGAGTGAAGATGGGGCAGCAACAGACTGACTGTTGATTCAGCGCGGCTACCTCACGAATGTTTAATTCGAAAGCTCGTTTTTATAATCCACGCATGATCGGCTGAATCCATTGCGTAAAACACTCATCCGAAGGGCGACAGCAGAATCAACGAAGAAGCGGAAATCAACAGCCAGTGAAACAAGATACTGCGATGTTTCGATCTAACAATGCAAGAACATAAGGCTGTTCATGAATGCAACTACGTCTGACCCAAAACCAGTCTGAAAAAAAATTTAGGAAGATAAGATGCAAATGTTTGAAAGTTTACAAAATACGATAAAGATACAAGGCATTCATTCTTCAGTGATATAGCTGAACAACGAAAAGCTCTTTTTGTCGATCTATAATTCTGGGAACTACTCTAGTCTGTTAAGGAATGTCTAAGCAAATTCTTCTGTGCAGCCTAATCCGTTTGTTTACACTATGTCCACACTGCAGCAGACAGCCTCCATTCTCTCTCTCCATTAATGGCAAGAAAAATGCTTGAAATCCAGCAAATAAAAACAACTGTTCTCAAAAGTTCAGAATCTAACATCTTCAACTGGCAGTTTTAAAGAAATAAATAGGAAACTTTGTCTTACATAAATGGTTTTTGTTAAAATTACTTCACTTGTACAACCGTTTGCCATATTACGGAATGTTCATCGCTGATAAAATATCACATAAAGCATAACTCACTCCTCCATAACCATGTTTCACAGTGTCTTGCACAAATTTCTTGCTCCTAATTGCTTTGGAGGATATTTAAGCAAACCATTGCAGCATGGCATTTGAGTGCCTGCACTGCCATGTGCATCACACGTTTATTTTTGTGCTTACGCTTTGTGGTTCTAGCAAATGCAACGAGGTGAGATTCATTTTTCACTGCAGGTTTCCCAACCACGGAGCCCTGACATGCTTAAATGACCCCCAATCGGCGTATGAACACATTTCGAAGCGTGTGACTTTTACGCATTTAACAACGGAAATGCTCAGCACTCATAGCTATATGTATGAAATTTAACACTGATATTAAATAGAAACAACAGGTCAGCATACACCATCAACAGCAGTGCATGGGAAACAACGATGAAGAGCATCAAACAAAGTCATGAATATGCTTAGGATTAATTTGTGACAAAAAATAAATCCACAGATGATCAACAGATTATCAAACGAAACAGACTATCCAAGAAACATACAGTATCTCTATTTAAGATAACGAGCCTTTATAGATGCGATTAGACGTATGCAGGAACTTTGAAGGAGCAACAGCTGCCTCGTTGTCTACCTGATGAACTTGCTGCCGAATTCCCGCAGCGATCATTTTCGTTCGCCAAATCAAGGAAAATAGAACGTTTCGTATCGTTAGATGGCCGGTCTACCTTACACTTTTATAATGGGGCCATTTCTAGCGTCCTTCTTTTCATGAAGTTAATGGTGTGGTGTTGATCTGTATTCCAATGTCAACAGCCAGGGGTGCATCATTTTAAAGGCAGAGTCAAAAGCAGCTATGGAGTAAGCAATGAGTAGACTCATGCTTCCGTCCTACAGTGTGGTACGCGTTTCTAAACCTCGGAAGGAAGAAAGGCGAGTGACATTGACCGGGGTTCGAATGCAGGACTTTTCGGTCCTGATGCAGACGATCCACCGATTGAGCAACCCTAGTCTCTAAAGCGGATGAAGTAGATCTGAAATGTAAAAATATAGTGCATAATATGTTTATAACCAGCAAGCCTATGACAATCGTTGACGACAGTAACAATAGGTTAAACAAAACAGCCATTCAAAGAAGCGGAAAATCGTACCCGGTGCCAAAGCGGAGTTTGGGGTCACAGCAAAGGAAACAATCTTTTCTGCAGGCATGATGCCAGCTTCCTCAAAGAGTCCGCGATATGCCGCTGTATACTAAAGATTCAAAAACCAAAATGAAGCAAACATGTATGTCAGTACCTTCTGTGGATTATCAGGATTGACACCGATAATAATTCGCCCCAATTTGCCACGTCCTTCTTTTTTGCCAACACTTGAGAATTTATAAAAAGTCTCAGGATCGACATATTTCATCACGATATTATTCTGTACCTGAAATTAATTGATCGATTAAATAGATAAAAAATCTATTTGCAAATTTGTTCGTTAGTAAAAGCAGGTATACACAATTTTTAACAAGTATGTTTGGGCGTGGTGGCAATACGGCAAAGAAATCGACATTGAACTCCAGGTGCAGTGTTCGAATCCGTTGTTGTGAAGGGAGAAATTTTGTCTACGCCGTGAATTCCTTTGACCAATGAATTAACCACCGGTTGCTTCTTCTGAACCAGTCGAGAAACGGATAGAAAGTCGGTGACCTGCGAATGACAGAGACATGATATTCTGGTCTGGTCATGCCCCGTCATAGACGAGGTGCATGGTCTCATTGTCTGATGCAAGTGCCCTTGTGGTCGCATTTCGCCCTGACTTAACTGATAGCTGATTATTCGGTATAATAATTAATACAAGGTGTAACCCATTTCGTGTTTTTTTCTTCTACATACAGCTTCGAAATTCTCCCGCCAGATGCCACGTTTACACTGCAAAATGGTCTGCGTATTTCATTGCTCTTAAAAATAAAATGAAAGTTTGCAACCGCTGGAATGTCGGTCTTCCTTACATATACATGAGGGGGTTAATGCCAGCACCCCTCTTTTCATGAAGTTAATGGTGGTGATTCTGATCTCTATTTCCATGTCATCAGTCAGGGATGCTTATTTTTTAAAGGCAGAATCGACAGTACCTGTGACAAAAATAGCCGGCATTCTTTCGTATCGCTCTCACTCATATATCAGAGTGGAACTCATTTACCAACCTCAGGAGGAAGAAAAGCAACTGACCCCGACTGGGCTGGTATCTAAGATGTCTAAGTCATGAATATGACGGTTTAAGGAGTGAGCAACCCTGGTCTAAAGCGAAGTGTAGTAAATTCCTTGACGAAAGAAGTTCGTGAAAAAGATAAAGATTGCCCTCTGGGGAATCGAACTCGGCAAATCTGCAGTTATGGCACCTCCTGGTTATGTTGCAATTATTGTATTTGTATCTTACAAATCATGTGGCTTCATGCTTCACAGGAATCAACAAGGAATGCATTCGAACATTAAACGGTTCATTCTAAAGTACATCACAGTCACACCAATCTGCTTCCGCAGAATTCAAGCTGATTGCAAAGTAGCTTATTCAGGGTGTCTCTTAGATGGGAAAGGATTCTCATGAGATGAACGAAATTATTGTCAAGACATCCCAAAATCATAATTTTAATGGAAATCTTGATATCACGACAAAATGATTGGAATATGATTTCGAGGCATACTCGGCTGTGAGAGGTAGTGCGAAGTTCTGGAAAGATACCGAATCAACAGCAATCTTGCATGATTATACCTATGTTAAAAACGAGCAGAGAGACTACATAAATCATCAAGGTAGATGTTGTCAGCGTCCCGATGAAATGTCTGAAAATATCAGATAGAAGATAATCAGAACTAGTAAGACGCAAGGAGAAGAAAATGCAATTCGGATTTTGCACCGCAATTAACACAGTAGATCAAAACGTCAATTACCAGCGGGTATGTGAAAATGTTCAGACTATATGACCGAAGTCTTCTCTGCCCGGTAACCCTTCAAGAAATCTATGACAGGATTCTTAAGTAGAAGATGCGATATTGCAGGAATATGTCAATAATCAGCTAAAGGGAAGATCATATCCTTAAATCGTTGTTCAAAGGTATTTATTTGAGTCAATGGCAGAAATACGATAACTTCTGCTGTGGATGCTTGGCGTGACTGGAAACGTTTGACCAAATTATACTCACATTGAAATGAAGTCGAAATGGGGCTTCCCTTGCAGTGGGGTTGCTAACACAAACCATGTTTTTGTTAAGTTATGGATGAAAATCATCAGGAGAAAAACCAGACGTTCGCAAGCTAAAGAATGGCGACATAGGGTGCTTAGTCTGGAGTGGAACTAAGACAGACAAAACACGTGAAGACATGTAAATATCACATGGCCGAATTTTTGCATGAAAGTATGCACAGTGTTAAAATGATACAGGAATCTGTCAAGCGAGCACTACAAGGCGGAAGCCCACTTGATCAGCGATGATGAAGCGCTCGTTTCTAGCCAGTCTGCGCGCTTATTCTACTTAACGGTGGAAAGCATGTCAAGTACCAAATTTTAGTCAGTTCATCTTCAGCTTCTCATCTGTCTTTGAATCCTTTGGCGTGGCTAGCGCTTTCACAAAAGGATGAAATAGGCTAGACCCAGAATAGGCTGGCCCCTCAGTTCCAACAGGTAGGGAAAGTGCATTTGACCTACAGTATTATAACTAACGGAAAGCACCAGCACTAATAATTGGTGACGTCGGCTCGGTTTTATTCCTTCGGCATGGTAATAATTTAAAATGGGGCTCGACTTACAGTAATACAACATTTACAAGCCGTTATCTCTGTAAAGTCAGTAAGGCCTAGCGCTTCAATTCATTTAAGAGATTTCAATATTGGCTGTCTTTCAGTGTTTATTGATAGAGCATGGATAATCCGTTAAGGACTCATCTTTAAGTGCGACAGGTTGCGTCCAAACAATCATAAAAATTGTAATGACTTCAGAATTATCAAGAAGCGTTTAACAGAGAGAGAGCAAACTTAAGTCTGACCTGCAGTAATGTAACCAGTGAACGTTCACCTTCTTTAGTCCACTGCGGTATTACGCCAATTTTTTTGCAAACTAACCCCGTCCGCACTGATCTGAACAAAGCATTTAACGAATGCTAGATAAATTTGTACAGAAAAAATTACCCCGGTGTGTATTCGCCAGGCTGAAACTTTTCTAGCTCTATGTGGCATCTGGCAGCTTTCTCTTGGTATATCTCCTCAGTAATTTCTTTAAGGAAAGCTTCATTCTCGGCCGTCAGTTGTTGAGGCACGTATCCTGTTAAAAATCACTGCAATTATTAAACTTTCAAATGCCGATTTATTTAAAAGCGCACAACGTATTCGAAAGGTTTAATATATATATATATATTACATGTGTTTTGGCGACGT